AAAATTTATCAAGTTGTAAAATTATTTTGAACAAAGTTATATGGAAAGTTCCACATGTATGTGTGTCGGATGACATGCTTAGACATGCTCAAAATCCTGGAATCCTCAACACCACTTCAAATAACATTTCGAAGTTGGGATCTATATGAAAATCCCGGCCTACCAAATAGTAAAAGACAAGCCTGGACTGTGAAAACTTCATCGCAGACTGAGAGCCCGAGATTTCTTATTGTAGCTTTTCAAGTGGATAGAAAAAATAAAATAAACAAAGATAGTAGTAGATTTGACCATTGTTCGTTATCATCTCTAAAAGTATACATGAATTCGAAATCGTACCCCTATGACAACTTGCGAATGGACTTTCCAAATGATAAGTATGCTGTACCATATCATATGTACACGCAATTTTAAGAGGCGTTCTATGAAAAGGAGATGGCGTGTCCTATGCTGACAAAAACAGAATTCAAGACAACTGAACCACTCATTGTCATTGACTGTTCGAGGCAAAACGAATTACTAAAAAATGCGCCAGTAGATATAAGATTAGAATTTGAATCTGATAAAAATTTTCCGACCAACACTACAGCATACTTCTTAATTGTACACGACAAAATGTTTGAATATAATACTATGACTAATGAAGTTCATAAAATATTATAATTTGTTTTTTTCAAAAAATAACGTAAAAGATTTTATTTATAAAATACTAATGATTACTTAAATATATATTTGACTATAAAAAAAAATAAATAAATAAATGTGTTATATATTTTAGTACCTTATCCTTATTATATTTAATTTATTTAGTATATAAATTGAAAGCATATAGTTTAATAATAAAATACTATATAAAATATAAATGCATACGACAGTGATCATTACTGTACGGTAATACCTTTGATGTTGGAAATATGCTTACCTAAGCGTCTGGTAGCCGATGGTAAAATTCTTAGAAATTATAACTATAAATTTAATAATATACAGACAGCGGCACAATTTTTTTCTCACAAAGTTCAGACTCTTATGAGCGTTATAATAATGTAATACCTCTCCCTCTCTCATCATTAGGTTAGTTTACGTTGGATTTAATCCCCCGTACACTTCCTCCACACACACACTTGGTAGGATGGTGAGTAGGTGAGGCGGAGGGGTTTCAGAGTCCTCAATTTTACCCTACTAGCGTCAAATCAATTACCTGCTCTATTGGTTGTATCTTAATATACATTACACTTTAATGATACTATAAATAAATATATTCACACATACACACATATGCATTTATAACATTGTGTCTAAAGTAATTATAACATGATAAAAAGTAACCGTAAAATGAAAAAATTTGGAAAATAAATTTTAGTACTCATATTAAATGTAATGTAACCCGAAAAATATTTGTTTAAATGAAATAGTATAAGATACCTTTTTTGTTTAAAACTGTATTTTTTACAACTTTTGTGCGAAACTTTTTTTTGTAAGTTAAATATTTTTTGAGAAAATTAAAAAAGCTCATATTTTTGAACTTTTGTGACTCTGTAAAAAAAAACTCTAGTCCAATTGATGAGGACTTTTAGTATGTCATTATACATATCTTAATTAAACTTTAAAAAAAAAAATAATTTGGTTGCGAATTTTTTCCGCCATATTTCCTTTGTTGACTGACCTAGTATATCTATCACCTTTTATTTTCACTATTAAAATATTCAAAAGATTATATTAAAAACAAAATTTTCCTAAATTTTGTGTTATATTAATCTGACAATTTAAATATATCAAACTATTACATTTTTTCACATGTGAATGATTATTAATAATTATACATAAGTATCGAGAAATATATCATTTATATATACATATTGTTACATACATATTAATGTGAGATGACGCTATACATATTTAATTAAACATAAAAACACGGTAAGTGGGGGTGAGCTGGTCAGTCGGTCACGTCATACACGTTTGTGTTTGTCACAACAGGTATGCCGCTGACATCACGCAATTTTATTTTCATTTTCTATAGCCGTTTAGTGGACTGGAGATTCCGCGTTCAATATACGCTGCGACCTTCAATGTGTTTTTTCCCACTAAAACCACCACCTTCGTAATGGTACGGCGGCGTTGCTGTTTAGACAGGTCCCTGCAACGTATGGCATTGAAAACTGATTTATTTCGCGCTCTGTTATTCGGTCGTTTTGGTCATATCAACGCCAAGTGTTTGAGTCGTGTATTACCTTGTTACCATAGTCGTTGAACTGAGCTGCTCATTTTTTTGTTGAATGTGACGGTGTTATTTGCCCTTTCTTTATTCGGATTTTCACAGTATTCATCACCTTCAAACGGCAGTGGATAAATATTAAGAATTTTTTTTATTGTTTGTTTAAAGTATCTACAGTCCACATAAAAAACTAATATATTAGTTAGAAAAAAGGGGATAATTTGTTATTTGTTCATTAGTAATTTGTTCTAATTTAATTTATCATTGTTTTTACTTTGTTTGTCTGTTTTCTTTAACCAAAATATCATATTGTTATTATCATATATGCGTAGTCTTTTTCTTTTTATTTATTATAATGTAAGGCTTAATTTCCAAATCTTATATTGTCCTTTCCTTCCGCAAATAGATGGTCATATTATTTATTAATCAAACCAAAAGAGTTACACAAAATAGCAAATTACCGATGCTAAACCCAACCTAACCGGCATTGCACACACATATATATATACAACTTGCAAAATACTTAATATTTTATAATATTTTAAAAGTATTCATTTTTAATGTGAGAATGTTATATTTGCTGACAACGTATATTCTGAGAATATTTTCAGTTATTCTGAAGTATTTTAATATCAAAAAGGAATATTCTAGAAATATTTCATTGTTATGTCGAGAGAGACAAGATGCTTTTCCCTGTCTTCACCATGTGATAATTTTTGTTTCTGTGGATCTATCACTCTTAGCCTTCTGATCGTTTCTAGAAGTATATATGAAGAGTAAATGTGTCAAACGTTCTATGTGCCAAAAAAGTGAAAAATTGTTTTATTTCTAATTTATGTGGTATTTGCCAAAGACCACAATCTTGTATGTGTTTCAAATGTCAATTAAATTTTTTACTTGTACAAAATTGCATTCATTGATGGTGTTCGTTATGTGAGACATGCCCATGTTACCATTGTTTTTTGTGTTTTCTGAACAACTATGTTTTTGGCACATAGAACGTTTGACACATTCAATAAATACTCTATACATATTTTTTTTGATAAGCGGTAATTATAGTAGAATTTAATTTGTATTAAAATATAAATGCCTTTGTCAATGATTACACGTAAATATCTATAAATAAATTTGTACAATGTTTACTCTATTATTTATGATGATGCAATATATTATTAATATAATTATAAATCATATTAAATTTAGATATTTAGCTGAAATTAAAAAAAAATAATACTCTTTTTATATTTTTACCTACCACTAAGTTTTTACACCAAATATTAGCCATACTTATTTTGAAAATATGAAATATGAACGTTTTTGAATTTTAAAATAATTACATCAATATCAAAAATACTTTTTAAACAACCATTAAATATTAATTCTGTTATTTACGTTTGCTTTAAAGTATTGTTTAAAAATTTTATATATACAAATGTAACGTCTTTAAAATTTTGTCAAATTATATTTTAAAATAACAACATTTTTTTTTCGTTTATTTATAAATACATAAATTATGAATTGAGTACTCAAGAAAATTTACGACTGATTTTTTGCCTATACAGGCCAATACAAAATTACGCCAATTTACTGGTAACGAAAAATTAGACTCAACGGATCGGCTTAACCGTCCTACACAAACGTACTGATTTAGGTGTCGATAGTACTACACACGACTACTATGAATGTCGTAGGTCAAGCAGCGAGAGAGGGTGGGTGATGATAAGATACGTGGAACTTGACCGGCCTGCATACGTAACTTTTAAAAAAATGTATTATGAACTTTTCCACATTTCCTGCAAATTGAAAATTTTCATACTTAGTTTTGCATGCAATGTATTCGCGTCTAGTTTTGATGATATGAAGAGAAACATAAGAGTGCCCCATAAATTTGCATTGTGATCTAAATTTTCCAGCGCTTTCATATTGACGATGAAAATTTGCAGATTGTCCACTGATTCCTCGATAACTGGTTTTATATCATAAATGGCTTTTGTATGATATTGCACCAAAATCCGTTTATTATTATATTTGTAATATACTGATTATACTGAAGCCAAATATGCCACATCTCTACTGTGCCGCGACCAAACTATGCTGAGTTTTTTAATTTTTTTTTTTTTTTTTGATAGAGAGGATGATTAAATGGGATACTTTTCCTCCCCTGCTTTTAAACTTGAAGGAGTCAAGGTTGAGTTGTAATAAATAAATAATAATATGACGATTAATACTAAATATTAGTGACAACATAATTAAATCAATACATTCATAAGGAAGTATATAAAACAAGTGAGCGATAAGTTTCCTTAAGGATGTCAAAAAGGTAAATCATATTCATCAAAAAAGTTCGATAAAAAATATCGATTTAAATAATTGTATTTTTTTGGTAATTTTTTCAATTTTTGTAAATTATGTTATAAAATTAATGCGATTTGTGATCTTTTATGTTTCGTTGAGAAAAAACTGTCTAGTGAGAGCAGAGAAAAAGTAGTGACAGACCACACACAAAAAACCCATCATGGTATAATTAATATATTCTCAGCTTTGCATCGAAGCGAAATAATATAAAGTAGATAATATTAAAATTTAAAAATATAATTGTATACTATAGCATAAAAAAATAAATTTATAATTGTATATGTATCAGTAATTTATCATATTTTATTATATTGAAAATATATTTATGACAATTCCAATTTGGCCAAATTTGTTCACATGTGTATGAATATGTTAACTGATATAATAAAGTATATAAACTTTAAATTTACTTAAAATAATTTTTTTAATTAAAATGATTTATGTTAGTGATATTTATATATGCCTACCTATTTAACCCGTAGATTGCCATCAGTTATTTAGTATACATTACTATAATAAACACAAGTAAAAATAAGAAAACTAAAAATGGAGGTGAGTAATACATTTTATAGAAGATACTTGATAAAATGTAAAACGTTATTTTATTTTATTTTAGAACTGGCAATTAATATATTTTTTTATGATAATTTCCTGTTTGATAATTAACGAAGGTAATTTTGATATTAAATTATTTAAGCGTAATAAGTTTATTAAATACATTTTTTAATTTATATCTAATATCTGAAACATTTTCAAAAGATAATTGTATTCAGTTAACTTTTAATAAATATATTTCAGTGTTTTGGAAGTTTCTATACATAAAAGTGCAATAATCGAATTTTCTAAAAAGAAACTTTGAAAATTTGGATATTTGGATATTTAATGCGCCAAAAAATAATATAAATATTTTTATGGTAAAATTTAAAAACTAGTAACAAATTTAAGCTAAAAAATTAAAATCTGCAAAATTTTGCTAAACTAAATTGTAATTTTTAAGGATATTTCAATTAATTAAATGTTTATAATTTATGGTTAAAATATATTTNTAAATTGTAATTTATAAGGATATTTCAATTAATTAAATTTTTATAATTTATGGTTAAAATATATTTTTTATAAAATATTACCTATTTATTAGACATACAGATAAGATATATGTAACACTGCTTACTGATATGAAATGACACATGATTTCATAATAAACAGTTTTATGTGGAATAATCCGCATACAATGGAATGCGCCTTCTTTAAGAATAATGATAAATCAAATATATTTTTTTAAATTATATAATAGTAAATTATTTTTAAAATATTTTTATTTGATGAATTGGTTTACTATTCTCTCTTTTCTTATCAGATTAAATGTTGACTTAACAAGATAATGTCGTTTCATTACCCCTTTTTAAATACACAATATTTTTAATAAAAAAACATTTGACCTCTGGACTTGTCTTCGTGGTGAAAATGGCTACCGAATAATCTATAGATTATATCTATACTATGCCACGTCACCACTGTGCCGCGAACCCCCTATACTGGGTTTTATTAACTTTGATGTCCGTTTACACCATGAAGACAAAATAAAGTTTGAAATATTTTAATATATTACATAGGTTTTAATATAATATGTATATAAATATGCCAGTATTTCCGGAACCCTTTCAAAAATTTAGTTGAAAAAGTTTTGAACCCTCTTGTAAAAAGAAAAATGATCCAAATTAAAGAACATAATAAGTTTATAAATAGTACTTATCGCAAAAAATTGTTGTGTTGATCCATACATTTTTCAATAAGTTATAGCTATAACCTTACTATAATAAGTTATAGATAAAAAAAAATTATTTGGGGTGGGGTTGTAGTAAACTAACTTCTTTTTCATGATTTCAAGAAACACACAATATTAAAAAAACCCAGCACAGGGTGTTGTGGCACAGTGGTGACGTTACATAGTTGGATCAAGTATAATGATATCTGACAGTGGTTAAAATCACTATCATAAAAAACGCTCGATGCAAATCTTTAAATAGTGTTTAATTTTAAAAATTGGTGAATTATTCCAAAAGCTACATGATCTGCTATTTCCTTATTTATATCCTCAATGAAAAAGGGATTATTAAAAAATATTATATTTCATAAAAAAATTGTATTGTTCTATACACTTTTCAATAAGTTATAACATTATAAAGTTAAAAATGTAAAATATAATATCGAGAACTTCCACACAAAAATAGCATTCGTTAGCCATTTTCACCTTGAAGACAAGTCCAGAAGTCAAATATTTTTCCCATAAAAAAGTACATTACATTATCATTAATTTAAGATATATATAAAAGTGTTAGACTATCTAGAACATTTTCAAAAGTTGAAAAAGTAATTTTTTTGTGAAAAAGTTGTCATTTTAAATTCCCCTGTGGATAGATAAAGAGTTTGATTTATTAAAAATATACCAAATGATAGGCGATAACATCAAGCAACTATAAAAAAAAATTATATTGATATGTTCATTTTTGAAAAAGTTATGGCAGTTTTTAGTAAAAAAAATTGAAAAAATTAGCGATTTTTAGATTTGTAATTTTTTTGGAGGTTTCCCCCATTTACGGGGAACGAGGGAAATTTTTTCAATTTTTGAGGGTAATGTATTCGACTAGATACGATTTGTGATCTTTTGACGTATCGTTGAAAGAAATCTGTTCGGTGAGAGCTGAAAAAAAGTAGTAACAGACACAAAAAAAAAAATAAAAAAAAAACACATCATAGTAAAACCAAAACTTTCTCAGCTTCCCATCGAAACTAATAAATATTATCGAAAATTTGTTGAAAAAAATCTATTCAATTGCGTGTATAATAAAATTTGATTATAATTGTAAAAAATCATAGTTAAATGTAGTTGAAGTTAAAAATCATTTTTTTTTTTTATTCAACAATAAATACATTAAAATTGAATGATTTTAATTGTCTATATGGAAAATGTCGTCTAAGTAACTTTTTATTTAATAAAATGGAAATGTTTTCAATTTTTGAGGATAATATCTTTAACTAGATAATAGTTGTCATCATTTGATGTATTATTAAAAAGAGTTTGTCAAGTGAAAGTTATGAAAATAATAAGAGCCAAAAAAAAAAATCATATAGTAAAATAATTTTAATATGAATAAGAAATTTCTTCAAACGAAGGGAGATTACAATGATGGGATCCTTGATAATCTTTGAAGTTATTGAATCTAAATGAAAGAAAAATCCAAATACAATACAAAATCGAGAATCATTAAATTTTCATCATGACGACAAAATAAAGTTAAAAAAAATGTTTTCATAATAAAGTATATTACCTATAATTTAAGGTATATTTAAAACTGTCAGTATTTCCGGAACACTTTCAAAAGTTAAATTTTTAAGAAAAAGTTGTCATTTTGAATCTCCCATGGATAAAGGGTCAAATTAATAAAAAAAATTATATAAAATGATAGAAAAGTCCCTTACGTATTTATAAAAAAAATATATATATGTTAATTCAGTAAAATTAAAAAAAGTTATGGCAGTTTTAAGTAAAAAAGCTTGAAAAAATTTCGAAAAGTATCGATTTTTAAATTTATACATTTTTTGGATATTCCCCTCATTTATGGTGAACGAGAGATATTTTTAAATTTTTGAAGGAATTTTATCAAAAACACGATTCATGTATTAAACAGTATTATTATGACTATTTTTAAGTATTAGTTTTTATAATTTTGGTCATTTAAATTTTAATTTTGTTCAATTTTTTCACAATGAAATTTACTGTACATTTTTTAACGTTTTATCCGCTATTACCTTTAAAATATTTATTTATTTGTATGAACTTTGTTATTTATTGTATAATTCCAATTAAAATAATTCAATTATTATTGATGAATTTTTAATTATGAACAAGTATTTAATATATTATTTTTATAGCTCTAATACATAGTATATTATTTTTCCCCTCTCGTGTAATAAGCAATAATTAAACTATAATAATTTTAATAATATAATGGAGATAATAGGGGCAGGAGATGTGGAGGTATGTAGTATGAGGTTAAACACTATTTTGGGGTTGAACTATGTTGAGCTATCAAATAATAAAATTATCTCTATGTCATTTATTCTTATTCTTGTTTATTTCTTGAATTTATTAGAAGTAAAGCATGCAAATAAATGTTCTCACTTATCTTAATTTCCTTTTGTAGTTGTTAAAAAATTGTTTTTGACAATGATCCTACATTTTGGATTTTTAATGAAGTAATTCGTAGTAATTACTATTAATAAAGTAAATACTTTGCTATGTTTAGTTTTCATTAGAATAAAAATATTGGTTCTCTAATTTCAAAAGAGAATACGCTGCAGAATAAGATCCTTAAACAAGCTTATATTTCTAAAATTGTTAAAAAATGAATAATTATGTGTAGGTACGTAGTTAGTTTATTGTAAAATTGTAGAAAAATTATTTAATCGTGACAATAATAGTTTACTACCTTCAATAGAGGGCTATGACGACTAGAAAAATGCTAATCCAAACATTAATCTGCAAAAAAATTTCGATAGCCATACACTAAGTATAATAAAAAAACATAACAGCACAGGGGGGTCGCGGCACAGTGGTGACGTGGTATAGATGGATAAAGTATAATGATATCTGACAGTGATTAAAATCACTATCAAAAAAAAACGCTTCGATGCAAATCTTTAGATAGTGTTTAATTTTAAAAAATTGGTGAACTATTCCAAAAGCTACATTATCTGCTAGTTCATTATTAATATCCTAATTAAGATAAAGTATGTAGAATGAAAAAGGGATTATTAAAAAATATTATTTCTCATAAAAAAATAATGTTGATCCATACACTTTTCAATATGTCATAGCATTATAAAGTTAAAAATTTAAAAAATAAAATCGAGAATTTTCACACAATAATAGCATTCGGTAGCCATTTTCACCGTGAAGATAAAATAAAGTTCGAAATTTTTTTTTCGCATAATAAAGTAAATTACATTAGCTTTAATTTAATATATATATAAAAGTGTCAGACTTTCCGGAACACTTTCAAAATTTAAGTTGAAAAAGTCAATTTTTTGTGAAAAAGTTGTCATTTTGAATCCCCCCCTGTAGGCAGGTAAAAAGTCAGATTTATAAAAAAAATATACCAAATGATAGGTAAAGACATCATGCATCTACAAAAAAAAGAATTATATTGATCCATACATCTTTCGAGAAGTTATAGCATTATAAAGTTAAAAATATAAAAAAGAATTTTTTTACAAAAATCGTATTTTTTTTATTAAGTTTAATGTCTGTTTTCACCATGAAGATAAAATAAAGTCCGAAATTTTTTTTTACCATTATAAAGTATATTACATTAGCTTTAATTTAAGATATATATAAAAGTGTCAGACCTTCCGGAACACTTTCAAAAGTTACGTTGAAAAAGTTCTACTTTCTATATGCATTTTTATGTTTTGAATCCCCCCTGTATTTAGGGAAATGGTCCGATTTAAAAAAACAGTATGTCGAATGAAAGATCTATATAAATACTACTTCTCATAAAAAAATTGTAATGATTCATACATTTTTCAAAAAGTTATAGCATAATAAAGTTAAAAATGGAAAATACAAAATCGAAAATTTTCACACAAAAATAGCATTCGGTAGCCATTT